CTCATACCAAACCCGTTGTTTTACATGTGTTGTTTATTGAACAAAGTCATATACTTTATAGAAGCCTGTTATTTAATCGTGTTGAACAATATGTTGCAATAGCAGTGTGAAAATTGAGTGCGCGTGACAGGCTTGGCCTAAATTCCTTCCTGGAACGTTTCTCGATGGCTGCCCGAATAACATACGATACATTGCAAAGGTAGTGCGCAATTGAGTTGTTCGGGTAAGGGAGATAATCACTCACTCTCAGTGATACAGCTTGAATAAGATACGATGTACAGCAATGCGCAATAGTTTATTCTTACAAAATATAGACCGGTTAACTTTAGCGAAATGGGATCATTTTTAGCTCTTTTAAAAACAAAATGAACAAATTTCATGGGTTATCAGCATTACGAAAAGTGACTAAGTCTCAGAATAGCAAGACGATTTAAAAGTATCTCTTATTGCTGGAAAAGATAAACATCAACATTTCACCCACATTTCACATGATTTGTATGTTTCGTTTCGGTAACTGTGTGGCTTGAAATTTCAAAGAAACCAACATGTCGACTTACATGCTACAAAATTAACCTCTCCCGTATACTTCCCCGCCTTAAGGGCGGGGAAGAATAATGTTGACAAATGTTCTGAAGTAAATGTTTTAGACACTTCACATTAAAACCCCCCTGTGAAGTTCCGGGGTAGAATAGGTCTTCAGCCACGCATGCTTGCCGTAAGAGGCGACTAACGGAATCGGGTGGTCAAGCTCTCTGACTTGGCTGATAAATGTCATCGTATCCGAGTTTGCGTGGGTCGATGCTCATGACATCAACCACCGGATTGTGGTCCAGACTCGATTATTTACAGACCGCCGTCATATATCTGGGACATTGCAGAGTGTGGCGTTAAACAACAAACAGACAAATTAAAATACAAATCGTGCTCACTGTGCATTTGATATTAAATCACACTCTGTTTACAACTAATTCTAAGGAAGATTAGGTAAATGTACCATGCACATGAAGACAGAGATGGAGTTCACAGAGTGTATGGTATCATGGAGTTTGTAAATGTCTTCAGTAATCATGTTCCCTCAGATAATGAAAACAATTCTGTTGATGAAGAAAAATTTACTCAAACATATGCAAACACTGATGTACCAAATATAGGTAATGTACCGTTATAGTGTCGCAAATCTGCCTCCTCTTTTCTTATTTTAATATCATTAGGGATCATACACGATAGCGCAATGTTGCCTGCTATTTTTTATATAAGAAAACCACAAGTAGATCTATCATTGAATACAATGTATAAGCAAATGCACGCATCACCGGAAAATGACTTTGCTAAGTGTTGTGAATTTACTGGTAAGTGAATGAAAGGGAGGTAACTCTTACACCTGTCTTTTTTAGTTGGCTTATTCAGTCATCTGAAAAAAAGACAAAAACGGATTAAGTACCGAAATAATGCACCTAAGTTCACAATAAGAATTAGTTTGAATACTGATTAAATATTGTTTTAAGAATAATTAAAAAAATGCCAAACTCTGCTAAAAAAAAGTCATGGTCCATCCTGTATGGATCTCTGGGCGTCTACTACACACAAAGTGGATATTTCTGTACAAGTATTAACGAATGACTTGGTCTTCTTTACAGAGCGCATCAGAAGAATAGTACTTAGAGTTATATAACCTTACTTTCTGGCCAACTTATTCTATAGCAGCTCATGCCGTATGCAGCTTAAATGCTACCAAATTGATAGAATAAATAAATTGTGTTATGTATTGGTAATCATCTTGTCAGCAAAATACAGTAAACGTACAGTACTTACTCAAATATATGATGTAAATTGTGTAAGTGTTTACAGTATTTAGTTTCAAAGAATTATATCTGGGTATACGAGTCATTATAAAACAAATAACAATATTTATTTATTTGATCTTTGAACGAAAAAACACATATGTACAAAACATGTAATTATAGGTTAAACCGGAGTTTCGTGTATGTGTAGAAACTTTTAAAAATATGTATTAAATTAAATGACTGTACAGAAAAGTATGATATAAAATGCCAAATTCTACGCCGCAATACTAAGATTTTGAACATTTCCCCTTGTAATATTGGCGGTTATTGTTTGGATGGCTCACAATAGAATTACACAATATAAAATACTCATGGCACAAAGCTTTGTGCAAAAAGCTGTAATTTTCTTCGCTAAAAGATATCAAAGGCCACGGTCCACAATAATTTGTCTTTCCAGTAACAACTTCTGAAAAAATACAAAAATGAAGACCTCCCTGGCATGACCACATATTCTTCCTGTCGTGCTCACATGATATTTCCTGCTGAGAAACTTGCTATGTGGTGTTGCACAGCATGAGAAGAGGACAGAAATGCAGCTTTAAGGTAAACACAGTGTGAGAGTATCCTTCCCATGTCTTTTCCAAAACGCACATTAATCATACATACATTTTGATATATTTGATTATGTTTTTGCATGTAAATCATGAATCAATGGTTAATACAAGAGGCCAATAAATTTGGGTCTCGGGAGCATTTGGTTCATAAGAAATTACAAATTACAAGGTATTTGTGTTTCCTTTAACAACCCTTCCCGAAAACGATAACACGGAGTATTCCGAACGACAGTTGAGAAGCACTGCCATACAATCTCAACGATATATTAGACATTCCTGAATGTTCGTTTGTTCACTTTCAAAATATTAATCGAGAACTGTGTCAACATATTTTTCAAGCGTAGTCGGAAATGGACGTCGCCAGGTTGAAACGCGTGCCGTAAAGCTCGAGAAAGCTGCTTTCTAATTGGCTGATGTCGACTTCTTGTTATTCATTTCAGTGGTCGGCGAAAGTTCGTTCTGACGTGACTCGTAATGGGATGTCCTCAGATCTTTGTTTAGAGGCAGCGAGAACTTAGATCTGATTTGAATGAGTGAGTGAGTGAGTGAGAGTTGGGTTTAACGCCTCTTTTAACACTATTCCAGTTATATCGCGGCGTGTCAGCTTAATGTGGGAGGAAAGCCCGAAGTGATGCAGGTCTCAGACGTTTACCACTTCGGTGAAACCCACGAGCACGGGTATGGTGCTGACAAACCTAGAAACATAATCGGGGCGAACCGGGATTCGAACCCACAATCATAGGTTTCTGGCGTGTCCAGGGAACGCAACTCTGCACAGCGAATCGCGGCACCTTAGACGACTGGGCCCACCCGTGCCCCCTGATTTGAATGAGATTGAACTTATAATATCACTATCACACAGAAATGACAGTTGACTATATGGGACATTACTACCTATTAATCTAGACACACATTAAATACTTTTATGTACGAATATATGAATATTGGAAGTAAGATTTGTATACGGAAGCCTTTTAGGGCCATTTGTTTTGTTTTTAAATTCGATACTATCTTGAAAATTCAAGATACTAAGTTGAAATTTCAAGATACTAATTTGAAATTTCAAGATATAGAAGTTGAAATTTCAAGATACTAAAAAAACAAATGGCCCTAAAAGGCTTCCGTATTTGTAACAGGAAAGACATTTTCTTGTTATTGGGATAGACATTTGTCCTCTGAAATGTGAATTTCTCGTTGACACCTGTCTTAAAATAACATTTACATATACAAATATTTGTAACTGTTAGCATTATTTAAAAAGTAATTGCGTTTTCTATAAATTTACAAGAAACTGTTACAGGACGGAAATTTCTTTGTTACAGAAAAGACATTAGTATTTCAAAATGGCATTTACATGCAACGATTACATTGAAGCAATACTTGACTACACAGTATGTTATTATCTATTAATCTAGACAAACATATGAATAACTGTTTGAAAGAAAATATGATTATTGAGAGTGACTATGCTGAAACATAAACTTATTGTTACGGGAAACACATTTGAAGGTCAGATGTGATAAATCATCCATCCGAACATGGCACGCGGCTTCTAGCAAGTGTTCCGAAACAAAATTGTCCATCCCATAACTAAGCTTCCTTGTTTGAAATCTATGTCAGTTTTTCACATTCAGCTTCATGTATAAGAGTTTACGATTATATGTATGTTATGTTCTTAACACAGTAAGTAGAAAATAGCATCTGAGGAGATTTTCATCAGTGTCCTTCCTGTTACACTTTTTGTCGATACTGTAGCACAGATTTCCTTCCCGTAACAAGCATTGTTTTAGCTCAATGTTGAGAAATTGACTGAAACAAGCACTCAAAAGTATGAAACTGTTTATGTTTTTATACCAGTTTAGAATATAACTGTTGAATGTCTTGTTGGTTTATATGGTCACCATTCAGATGTCTGTGTTACACATCCTAATTATGCGAATTGTTATGAAAATTCGATGTTTTTCATATATTGTAACTATGTTATTTCCGTTTTCATCTAAAACTGAACATTATTACTTGTTTAGATTCTGACAGTTAATAACCTAGTTAAAGAAACCTCTTTCACTGGATCTGAAAACAATTTTAACACTGTTACTGGAAAGACATGTGCTGCTTCTGCTACAGGATAAAATCTTTCAAATATATCGTGCCATAGGTTTTCAAGGTTGCAATATGTTATTTTCACATCTTTTTCAATCTTCAAATTCTGTCATTTGTTTATAAAGTTTAATAAGATTTAGGTTATGTAACCAATCATTGCGTAAGCGTTATTTACGATTAAACATAAGTGTTTTCATGAGGCCCTGATAGCTAAATAATCATTGTGTGTTGTTCACATTAAATAACCACGTGTGTGAGCATCATGCTCCCAACGAACTCAAACATCCTAAAGTGAAGAGGCTCAGCAAGACATGTGAAAATAGTCCTGTTTGCAATGTGTCAGAAGGAAATATAATTAGGCTTCTTCTGTTGCTGTGAATTCATTCAAAATCAACTTTAAGCTCTGTGAATACGCATGTATCGATATGGGGATCCTCTGACTTACTTGTGAAGATGTAGAAAGGAGCCGGTACAACGCTGTTGCTCCTCCTCATGAATCTTTTTACCGCTTCTTTGTATTCCTCATTCTGTAGGTGTAGATGAACAAGTTCAAGCATGTGCCAACAAACGGTGAAAGGAAGGTCGCCTGTTTCCAGTAGTGTGTTTCCACAATCACGGCATCAATAAACCGGACAACGACAACCGGCATCCACGATATGACGTTACACACCGCAATATGCACTGCAACCAAGGACTTGCTCTCCTGCTTGGAGATCCCGAACTGCCGGTCGCGCTTCAGATGTCTCCTGCTGACAATGTAAACACGCAGGTACACCAGGAACGTAAGGACGACGAGACAGATGAGGACTGGCAGCTCCACCATGAGGACCAGGTGAATGTCCTCCTCATACGACGAAGCTACGAACACAGCCCGCGAAATCCCAAACACCCAAGTAATTGCCGTCGCAAGAAACGTTTTCTTCGTGGTAACATGCGATTCATAGATGAACGGGAATTGTATACCTACAAATCTTTCAATGGCTATGATAGAAATATTATTTAGTTGCATATTGATGCAGAAGTAGATGATGAATAATCTAACATGTCGGAACATCCAGTCGCAGAACAGATTGTTGAAGTAATCAGTGACTATGTACATTGGGAACCCTACAAGACCGTAGAGTAAGTCACTTAGGGCGAGGTTGGTGAGAAGAAGGTTGCATGGTTTACGCAGATGACGTATTGCGACGAAGGCGGCGATGATGATGCCGTTACCGACCACACTAACAACGCTGACAATCGCACCGATGATGGTGAGAGCGACCAACCATTCCCCAGCAATACGTTCAGGAATCTGACACAACACGGAGCTGTTGATCATGACGACTTCCAGATACACTCTGTATAAGAATGGCGTTCACCACTTTCAGTCGAGGGCAAATGTTGCTTGTCGGTACGGAGACGCTGTGTATGTATGACACAATGTCTTGAAGAGTTTTAAAAGTCTCGAGGCTGTGTACTCCGTTTACACAGCGCCAGTTCAAATGGGAGTTAACGTTCATAAGGAATTTGCGGCAAAAGGATGACTTGGTCGCACCAGGCTTAAAAGCGTTGTATAATATGTTAACGTAAGCTGCGCACATTGACTCCACGTTGCACCTCTTGCCCAAGGGGAATCCGTATGTGATATTCATATGATGCATTCTTCCTAATGGACTCTCGGTGTTAAAATCAAGGAAACTGAAATACCATTAGGTTATATTTGTCATTATCCGCGGGTTGGTGAATCCATTACATATACGATATGTTCTGGGAGACGACTGTTGAACATGTATGTATCACACCTCTCTACTCATGTCGCAGCGAATTGCTGATGATGACGGAATACTTTTGTTTGTCTGTACAAGTCGATGATCATATTGGTCAATTACAGAAGTCGGCATCATAGATCATTATCAATGACTCATGTTCTTATTCTGTGATCAAACGGTCAATTGTAGCTCACCTGCGCCGCATGCCCTCCCGCGGAGATGAAGTTGAATCTCTCCCTATTCACAGCTTCTACGGTGTGCCAGTGTAACGTCCTACATCGTCCTTACCTCTATCTGGCAGTCGAAGTGCCAAAGATAGCTCCTAATTATATCTAGCCACACTTTGAAAATGTTTTCATTCACCTACTCACAGTTAAATGACATCGCTATTCTCTCTGTCGTTGAAGCTGGTTAGCTGTACCAGTCGCACAAGACACTGGTTGTTACTGTTAAAAAAGGGAAACAGTTGGTTAGCTGTACCAGTCGCACAAGACACTGGTTGTTACTGTTAAAAAAGGGAAACAGTTGGTTAGCTGTACCAGTCGCACAAGACACTGGTTGTTACCGTTAAAAACGGAAACAGTTGTTTAGCTGTACCAGTCGCACAAGACACTGGTTGTTACCGTTAAAAACGGAAACAGTTGGTTAGCTGTACCAGTCGCACAAGACACTGGTTGTTACTGTTAAAAACGGAAACAGTTGGTTAGCTGTACCAGTCGCACAAGACACTGGTTGTTACCGTTAAAAACGGAAACAGTTGGTTAGCTGTACCAGTCGCACAAGACATTGGTTGTTACTGTTAAAAACGGAAACAGTTGGTTAGCTGTGCCAGTCGCACAAGACACTGGTTGTTACCGTTAAAAACGGAAACAGTTGGTTAGCTGTACCAGTCGCACAAGACACTGGTTGTTACTGTTAAAAACGGAAACAGTTGGATGTTGAGTTTGAATGATAAATACAATCTTTTGATATCACATATATCAACGTTCGTCGTTTTATGCCTCGGTGTTTTAGCGATTCGTGTTGATAGATTTCATATGACACTACACGAGAGTGAGATTCTCTACTATATGATATCCAAATATCAATGCGTATTTAAACAGATTTGTGGCTTTGCTTTTACACTGAGTGTAACAAGTATGTAGTCCCTGGTGGTTGTTTTAGTACATGTATGCTCAGGGGTTTGTTAGAGAGACTCTGAATGCGATCTCATTTGGCAAGGTGAGCTGACGTTTGGTACGCATCTATCCGAGCAGCACTAATGTGTCGGCTATACATCTTCATTAATACATTCTGCCGCCATCACTGTAAACGTCTGGCCACAATAAGACATGAACCAAGTAACGGATCGATCTCCGACTGCGTCTTACTAAAATACGTTAATAGATGGCACTTGTTGTTACCCTGCCAGGCGCTAGGCATTAAGATTCTAAAACTAGGACTGGTTGGCTCGGATTCAGTATACTGTGTCTGAGTGGGATGTTCATGTTAAACTGCGGCATGGTATCTCAGTGGGATAGTACTATAACATCGGCATTAGTCCAGACTATGAGAAGCAGACACACACACACACACATACACACACACACACACACAAACACGCACGCATGCACGTCGCTATATAAACGCAATAATCTTGAACGCGACATAAATCCCCAAGTTTAAAAGACTACATTTACCAAACCGTATGTTATATCGTAGGCATGTGTTATTACATATTGTAGTTTTCAACACCATACACGGTTTCTTAATGTTTGGGCATGTGCAGCGATTTCTAAGTTGTTCCTTGAGGACTGGCAAATATATATCTAGATATGATACTGAACCGCAAAAGAAACGTCACCCCAAGAAACATTGCATGAAAAGTTGTCATTTAAATATCTGGGTAATTTCTGTCAAAGCTTCTAAAATTTAACATTACCTTGACCAGAAAAATGAAATCTGATGATAAAAAAACAAAGCAAATGACAATAAAACCGATCGCCCAAAAGAATCACGGAAACGGCCATGGTAACCTGATGCACGTGAATTCCGTGCAAATTGAAATGCACATGCGTGCCCCCATTTCTTGCCCTATAAAAATCTAACCAGATCGGATAACATTCATTCGTTATTGAATTGTTACCACATGCCAAGATTGACAAGAAATCGGCGACACCAGGCCCTTGAACGATTGCAAGCTGGACAAACCGCCCGGCAAGTAGCCAATGCATTTCAAGTCCACCTAAGGACCATATTCAGGCTCCAGCAATGGTACCAGACCACCAACACTACAGATGACCGACCACGTAGTGGAAGACCAAGGGTCACCCCCCGACGTCAGGATCGTCAGATTGTGCGACAGCATCTTCAAGATCGCTGTGTTACTGCTGCAGAAACTGCTCGACAGACCACCGGGACACACCAGCGACATATTAGTGCGGACACCGTGCGTCGACGACTGGCGACGCCGTGGAGAACGTTTTTCGAATGCTTGTGTTGTTGAGAGAGACTCGTGGGCTGGTCCGAGCATCATGGTTTGAGGTGGAATTGGTCTTACACAGAGGGTCGGCCCTGTGGTCTTCCAGAACATCGGTCCAGGGAGAGGCAATGGTGTCACCGCAGCTCGGTACATTGATCAAGTCTTGAGACCACACGCCATACCTCATTTGGCACGTCGCCGCAACCACGAGTTTCAGCATGATAACGCCCATGCCCACACAGCGAGAGCAACGAGAGACTTCCTCCAGCAGAATGGCATCAGAGCCATGCAGTGGCCTGCCCTCAGTCCCGATTTAAATCCCATTGAGCACCTGTGGGACGACCGACGTCCGCCCAAGGCCGACAACTGCAGCTGAACTGCATCAGGCGTTCCTCAGATTTTTCACTTTAAGAACATTTGACACTTTAATTTCAACCTTGATGATCAGTTTTGCCAAGTTACATGTTTTTTATATGTCTCAAAGTATGTTTACAGTGTTTGGACAAATAAGGTTTCTCATATATCTATTCATGGTGACGTTTCTTTTGCGGTTCAGTACATTATATAGACCCATTCTGGAAGGTCGATTGGTTTTGATTACTATATTTAAATATGTGAAAGCTTTGAAGGTAACATGGATAGAAAACCTGCACTGTATGATCCTGAGTGGAAGGGTACGAATTCTCATTGCCAGTTTGCACTTTAAAATCAGAGGAATTTAATCATGTTGATTTCTCAAGGACCTGAATAACCCTTTCTGAAGGGATTGCTTCAATAAAGGTGAAAATAGAGAATTTCAAAGATTTCTTGTCTGAGCATTTTTTTATATAATATTAATAGCAAAGTAAACAAGAAAACAAGTTGTTTTTTTATGAATAATGGTTTCAGAAAGGTATTACCGAGATGAAAATGGAGATCACTAATCTCTGGATGATATTAACAGTATGTATCACCTGAATACCTCGTTATTATTATGGTGTAACAAATTCCATCAGAACATATTTAAAAAAAGTCGCAATTTCAAAAGAAAAAACTGGGCTATCTGGTTTGTTCTGCAAAGAAAGGTTCAAAAGCATATTATACTCTATGCTTATCTGAAGGTAACAATTCTAAGTGACAAGCTGAGTTCTCATCTGATCTTGATTGGCATTGTATTTCCCCCAAACCCTTCAAATCAACACAGGAAACAAACTGGGGTGGTTTCCAGTCAGGATAATCCACAGGATTTTGACATCTCACATTTTTTCTCTCCATAATCAAAGTTAAGGACTCTGTTAAGGATTTATGTTCATTTTGAAATGGAGATTGAGTCCATCTCACACTTGCTTAGGGAGTGTGACTTTCTACAAACTTTCTGTTCACATTCATACATTCCTACATTAGAACTGATAATGTTTAGTTGTAAAAAGAATGTTATGACTGTTGTTGTGTTTGATATAACTTAGTCCCGACGAGAACAATCTGCCAAACACACACAAGTGCATGCACGTCGCTATTGAGTGCAATAATCTTGGACGCAACGTTAAACCCCATGTCTACTCACCTATGACTGAACGAAACATTCAGACCGGGATATCTGATTTCTATATCTCGAAAACGAACTTAAATGACCAGTTCCGAGTGTAAATCATAACGGCGAAATGATTTTTTTATAAAAGGCATCGAAATTGAAAAAGATATAAAGCTTTAAAATACACAATTCCAAAAAAGACAAATACATTTGCTGCCAATTGCAGGGAGTGTCCAAATAATACAGTTAGTTATTTTCATTAATTTAAACAAATTATTAATTGAGCACCTCTTTATGTTGTAAAACAACAACAATTGAGCTCTTTGATATTAAAAATTAATGCTCCCTTAGGGTCAGGATTGAAGTTTGAAGCAGGATTACGGGCGGAAATCCTTCCCAAAAGTAATTTGTCCCAGAGAATAAACACTGCTCTTCAAAAAATCCTAATTCCCTCCAAATAATCAGACAGGCGACATATTATCAATAATAAAAACACAGCCAAGAATGGTTTCAAGATTGGCTCGTGCTGGTGCGTTTTATCAAAACACCTGCACCTTAGTAGCACGGATTTCACGTGCCTTAGATGGATGGACTGACAG